AGTGAATAAAATTTATATATTTTATATATTATATTAATGGGTTTGTATATTGTATATATATATTTTTTATAATAATATTGTATATTGTTAATGTCTTAAAATGCCTCCAAATTCTTAAAAAAACTGATGTGTCCAAACATTTTAAACTAAAAGTCATAGTTTTAGCTAGCACAATATACTGTGTTAAATGAAATTATGTGTTGTCTATTTATTTATGATACGCTAATCAAGGTCACCATCATACTAATTTACCTCAAATTAGAGTATTGTAATTTTTTTTAAAAAAATAATAGTCTTGTTTATCATTTTTATCTGTCACAGAACAATAGTTTTGTTTTCATAAATAACCATATCACCATAAAACTATCCCTATTTTTTCATTTCAATTACACAATTGCCACTACTTTTTACACTAATACACTCACAAAGACAAAAAAGTCTTTTATCTATACTTTTTACCAACTACCAATATAATATCAATATTTCTTAAATCTCGTGTCCAACCCAATTAAGACTATATTTATGGGACGGAGGGAGTATTATTTTGTGAAAAGAGACTTCTCAATTTCACACTGCAATAAATTTATAAATAGGATGCAAACTCTGGAATTAAAAATCAATAATTTATTCTGTAAATATCGGAATTAATTCTGATTTATTCTACTTTATACGCATTTCTTATACATTATAATTTTGAGTTTTGCTCTTGATTTTGCTGTCGAAATCAAAGAAATCGTATGGATTATCCCTATAAAGTTGATTTCGTTATACCCAACAGTAGAATCGAAATACAACTTTTAAATAGTAAATCTAAACTCGATCCGATACAAATATCCAAGTCATTATTCTTTTTTATCCCACCATTTCCCCAACATAAATACACGTAATTATTCTTCTTTTACAAATTTTCATAATAGTGTGCAAATTCGAGTAATATATGTTATGCAATTATTTCGTCGAGACTACAACAATGGATCGCTATTTAGACAATCATCAAATACTTACATATCAGCCGAAATATATTCTAACAATATATTCACCTAATTTGATTTTAAAAGTTTACATTATGAGATATTCTAATAAAAAACTATAAACTAACAAAATCATCAAACAAATCAAATATAATATAAAGACATCATATGACATCAACAAACACAATGCTTGCCCGTGAGGGATGGCCTGATGGTACGAGGGTTGGATTTGTGACAGTGAAGTTTAAAATTTACCATAGATTAAATTATATATTTTTTTTCAAAAAGATATATGATAAAACAAACAGGACAAATTAAAAGAAACGCGGATATAATAAATGAAACGAATGAAATATTATATAAAATCACTTTTTATATTAAAATTAATATTATCTTTAAAAAATTTGAAAAATAAATAAAAGGAATTAATATACAAAAGTTTAAAAAAATAAAAAAATAAACACAACACAAAAAAATGGTTAGTACAATGTAATGATTGCATTGGAGCAAATTCTTCCCACCAAACTCCATCTTTGTGTAGACAAACGATATTTTAGGTTTTTGGAATTTTGAAAATTCGAAAAAAAATTTTTTTTTTTTAGATTTTCATTTAAAAATATTTTTTATTTTTTTTAAATAAAAAATTATTTTATTTTTGTACTGTTTTTTAATATAAAAAAATTAATAATTATTACTCACTTTTATTAAAATTCGTGCATGATCAAATAAACGTATATTTACATGACTAAGAAGTATTGTTACATACTTGACCTTGTCGGCTTTAGTAACACTCAATTTGATGCTACATGTGTGTATTTTTATTTTTAAAATTTTCCTCGTGATTCAATGCACCAAATGGTCTATCATCTTTTTGTAGTACTATGACTAAATATAGTAGACGCCTTTCATTGAATTATAGCCAAAAGTAAAAGATATATACAACCAATGAATTGGGTAAGTAAATTCAATTTAATTTAATTTTCTCATATATTCGATTTAATTTCATTATTGTATATAATTTGATATCGCGAATAGTAATATTAGAGCCGTCAAAATGGGTTGAGTCCGTCGGGTTGGCCCGCTCCACCTCACTTTTAAGGAGGATTGAGTTGTGATTTTTTAAACCCGTTAAAATACGGGTCTAAATGGGCCAACCCACGTAAGCTGTGAGTTGAGAGTGGGTTAGCCTGCAGACCAACTAAATATAATAATTAATACTTCACTCGTCTCAACTAAATGTATTTTTTTTATCTTTTTTTTTTATTGTCACATTAAAAAATTATAATATAAGTAATCAAATATTAATATAGAGTTATTTTAATTTTAGTTAAATTACAAATATACCATTATAAATACAATTAATTTATAAATAACATACAAAGAGTAAAAAATATCAAAATTATTTTGTACACTTTATTTAATAAATAACATATTATTATTTTTAATATACTGAAAAAAGATATTTTTAGTTAAGACGAATAAAATAAAATTTATATTATCATTAGTTTAAATAAATTAATGAAAATATTGTCTACATGTTGTTTTTCTTCTTTATCTTATTTATTTTGATTTTTCATCATTTCGTCTTCCATTTTATTATTTTATAATTCTTTTTTTCAAATTCATAAAATTAATTATGATTTATTTTAAAAGTATTTCTTATTATTATTTTTTAAAAACATTAACTAATACTAATATTTAGAATTGAGAATTTTTATATTTGTTGTTTATTTTAAAATATTTATTAATTAAATTCTACAATAATACTATTTTTAAATATTAATTAAAAAAATATTTATAATATTAATATTTTCAAATATTTTTAAAAAGCCCTTAGGCTATTCCGCTCGCCACCTGCCGGTGGGTTGGATTAGATTGATGAAATTTTGATCCGCCACGCTGTGAGTTGGCCCGCAAACAACCCGTTTATTTGTGGGTTATGGTGGATTGTGGGCCAATCCGCCTCATTAATCCGTTTTGACAGGTTTAAGTAATATTCCTCTTTAATATTGTATATACCCACAAATTAGGTTTGTTTTGTTTTGATTTTAGATAAAATTTACTGCTATTAAGTATGCATTTTTTTAAAATAAAAATATATTATATTATCTAATAAAAATATTACTCTTTTGTTCATCCAAAATTATATTTATTTTTTATTTTTTTGAATTTTTATAAAACAATATTTTTGTTTTTTTAGCAAAAAATTACATCATTATTTTATATTTTTTACTATAAAAAAAATGATTATTATCCAATTTTATTAAAAAGTCTTGAATGATGTATGGAGTTCATCAAAATATTATTTAAAAATTAAAATTAAAATAGAAAAAACTTAACTCAAATTAAAACTTAACCAACAATTTGTGAAAGAACGACCATTTATAAATTTCCAGTAATTAATGTTGTATAACCCACAAATATTTACGAAATAACTATAATTAAAAACTAAATATTATTTTGATACTCACTTTATTTCTTATTTTTGAGTGGATATATCTTTTTTAGGTTAGACATGCAACATTGTTTAATAATATTAAAAATGATATTTTATATTAAATTATAGACTTTTATAATAAATAAAATATATAAATTGTACTCCCTCTATCCCATGTAATATGGATGTATTACCGTAGACACGGGAATTTACATAAAGTATAACTAAGTAAGTAATTAAGAAGTGTATTAGTAAAAATAATTATTATTTAGTAAAAATAATTATAGATTAAAATTAAAATAAGTAAATAGTTTAATTAAAATTAAGAAAATTATAAAATTTAAAATTTAAAATGCTGCATAATTATATTTCCAAAAATAAAAAGGACAAGTTAAATGGGACGGAAAAAAATAGAAAATAGGGACAAATTATATGCGAATGAGGAGTATATATTTGTTTTTTAATCCTTTCATGCGCATGCTACCTTCTTCTCCAATTTCTATTTTCACACGCTATCCCTTCCTATATAATTTGTATTTAATATTAAAAATATATTTATATTTATATAAATTTTTTTACAAAATTTTTTTTTTATTAATATTATAAGACACTAATTGAAGTATTTTTACAATTTTTTTTTTTAATTTTTACTACATTTTGATATAACAATTAAATTAATAGTCAAAAATCAAAAGTAATCGAAACCATCAGAGTTGGACGGAGAGAGTATTAAATTATTTATTAGAACCAATATATATATATTACTTTCTCAGTACCATTTATCATGTCTATTTTTTCGTTATGTCTGTTCCACTTATTTGGTTATTTTTTTTAATTATTTATAATTATATCACTGATAATAGTAAATTTTGGTGTCAGAGTAAAACGAATATTGGCGACTGAAGAAGTATATAAATGTGAAAGATACGAAAACAAACACATGTCCTTTTAATCTAATAAGTAATATATAAAACGAAGTGAGTGGAGTGTGGAGAATATATGCAAAGCAAAGCTTGAGAAAACAATGAGTAATTAAATCAAATCGAAGTTGCTGGTTACGTTTTCAGAGGATGCAATGCTTTTGATTTGGCAAATTCGATTCCTTCATTACACTGACTGGCTCGCACTGATGATCGACCCTTACCCTTTATTATGGATTGTTCCGTACACGTTCACGCTGTGACCGTGATCACCCACCCACCCAACCTGACCTGACCTTTCGAGTGGAGACTGGAAAATGGAGATGGAGATGGAGATGGCGATGGGATGTACTATGGAGGAGGGTTCTCTTTTTGTTATTCTTTTTGTATTGTATTTTGTGGGTCTCTCTCTCTCTCTCTCTCTCTCTTTTCTGCGTTCTCAAGTATTCTCTCCACTTCAAATATATTAAATTAAATTAAATTCTCAAGTGGGCTCTCCTCTCTCTCCTCTCCTACTCCTATCCACTCTTTCTCTCTTTCTTGTGAAAATTCTCTGAATTTTTTATGTTTACTTTTGTTTTTTTGGTGGGAATATTAATTAAACTCCATGAGAGTGTATTGTTAATTGTTTCTCAGCTTCTTCTTCTTCTGGTGATGGGTGGGGGGGGGGGGGGGGGGGTATTGTAGCATTTCTGTAGCTTAATAATCATTTTGATTGAGCTCTGCTGCTCCAGGAGGAAGAGGATAACCTAAGTTTTACTTTTGTTTCCTCATGCACTGTTTACTTTGAGGCCACATTCTTCGATTGCTCCTCCTCCTTCCAAAAGGTGTTTTCTGTACTGTTTGTTGCTGGTCTTGTTGCTTCTCAAGAATCTTCTTTTTCGCTTTACCCACAGGTCCTTGTCTCAAGATTTCTGAATCTCCCCATCAATCCTCCTCTTTTTTCAATTTCTTGTTTTGGCCCACAGGTTTTTGTGATGAATTGTGTTTCTTGAACCATTGATTTCTTGAAATGAATAGGCTTGAGGGTTTCTTGATCAATTGATTTCTTGCAATGAATCTTCTGTGGGGGTTGTTGTTTTTGGTGCTCTTGCATCTTCTGTTTGTGGGGTTTTGTGAATCAGCCTCAAGGCCAGATGTTGTCAACATTGGGGCAATTTTTGTGTTTGGAACTATTAATGGGAAAGTTGCAAATATTGCATTGAGTGCAGCTGTGGATGATGTTAATTCTGATCCCACTGTCCTTAAAGGGACCAAATTGGCCCTCTACAAACATGATTCTAATTACAATGGCTTTCTTGCCATCATTGGAGGTATTTCTACATCCATTTTTTACAAACAAACCATATATATATATATATATCTATATATGCATATATTTGCTTCTTTGAAATTGTGCTTCTTCATGTGTTTAACTCAGTTCTTAGGCATTGATGTTTTCGCATATATATAGATTGTTAGTATTGATGCATTTTGATATGCCTCAATGTCTGATTGAGTTTGCTAAGTCAATGTTTCGATTCGATTTTGTTAGAAGATATTTAAGGATCATCTCACTTAAAAGGGTAAGCTATTAGGGATCACGTGCAAGGTGTATATACTTGCAAATCTTGCATGTGAATGTCGACGAATGAGTGTAGTAGGACTCAAACAGGGGATTTTCCGACTCTGATACAATGTTAAAGATATTAAATAACCATTTACCTAAAAGTTTAAGCTATTAGGATACGCATCATTTATTAAACATCATCTATTTAATTTATATCGGAGATTTGATCCCACCTAGTAGGTTGAAGATGATAGTTTATACTCATAGTTGTGTCGTTAATACATCTTGTGATGCTGTCTGAAACACAAATAGGACTGCAGTTCATGGCGACTGACACGGTGGCGATCATTGGCCCTCAAGTCCCCGGCATGGCTCACATATTGTCACACCTCGCCAACGAACTCCACATCCCTATGCTGTCGTGTACTGCGTTGGATCCGACCCTGGCTTCGCTTCAATATCCGTACTTCATCCAGACGGCTCCCAACGATCTTTACCAAATGTCGGCCATAGCTGATACAGTGAGCCACTTTGGTTTCAGAGAGGTCATAGTGATCTACCCTGACGACGACCAGAGCCGGGGCAGTATGAGTGCGCTCGGGGACCAATTAGCATCAAAGCGTTGTCGAATCACTTACAAGGCATTGCTACCACCGGAGGCGTTGGCAACAGAGAGTAATATCACAGAACAGTTGGCGAAGATTTCGATGATGGAGTCGCGCGTCATTGTCGTTCATGCCTATGCCGTGATTGGACTCAGAGTTTTCAGATTAGCTCGGAAGCTTAACATGATGAGTAAAGGGTACGTCTGGCTCGCCACGGCTTGGCTGTCGACTGTCCTCGATTCCAGCCCGGAGCTCGTCGATGATCCTAAATCTGTTGGAGGAGTTCTAACTTTCCGGCCTCACACGCCCGAGACAGACAGGAAAAGGGCGTTCTTGGCGCGATGGAAAAGATTAAGCAACGGTTCAATCGGTCTGAATCCGTATGGACTATACGCTTACGATACTGTCTGGACTATTGCTAATGCTCTCGATGTGTTTCTTGATCGCGGCGGGATAATCTCGTTTTCGAATAACTCCGACATTTTCGGCTCCCGGGCCGGAGCGCTCAATCTCGGCGCGTTGAGCACATTCAACGGCGGGAATCAGCTGCTTCAACAGATATTGGATACCAACACGACAGGTTTAACTGGTCCGATCGCGTTCAATTCGGATAAGGCTGTAGTTCGCCCTGCTTTCGAAATTCTGAATGTTGTTGGGAAGGAGTATAGGAAAATCGGGTACTGGTCTAACTATTCAGGGCTTTCGATTGTACCTCCCGAGTTTCTTTACTCCAAGAAACCTAACCGTTCGTCTGCGAGTCAGAAATTGGGGAATGTTGTCTGGCCGGGACAGACGACTGTCAAGCCACGAGGATGGGTTTTCCCGCGTAACGGAAGAGAGCTGAGAATCGGGGTTCCGGACAGGGTAAGCTTCCGCTCGTTCGTTGCGAAGGATAACAACACGAACGAGATTCACGGATACTCGATCGACGTATTCCTCGCTGCCGTAAACTTGCTGCCTTACGCCGTACCCCACAAGTTCATCCTGTTCGGAGACGGCCGGAAGAATCCGCACTACTCGGATCTTGTCAACATGGTCGCCTCGAATGTAAGCGCACACATTTGTTGATATTGTTACGATTATTATTATGAATTTGGAAACAAGTTTGAACGAGTACTGAGTAATGATCAGTGTTGGCTGACTGCCGTTTATAGATAAATAAGTTTATAGATAAATAAATAAATGATGCGTATCCTTATCAACTTAAATTTTTAGGTGAGACGGTTATTTATATAATATAACAATCAGTATGATTTGGTTCATGTAGGTCTTCGACGCAGTCGTCGGCGATATTGCTATAGTAACGAACCGCACGAGGATCGCTGATTTCACGCAGCCGTACATAGAATCAGGGCTCGTTGTGGTGGCGCCGATCCGAAAGGTGAAATACAGCTCATGGTCTTTCATGGCGCCGTTTACGCCCTTAATGTGGGTGACGACCGCCGCATTCTTCCTCGTCATTGGATTTGTGATTTGGATCCTTGAGCACCGCATAAATGATGAATTCCGAGGCCCTCCGAAGAAGCAACTGATAACGATGTTATGGTGAATCATCTCAGCTCTGTTCTTGCTTCATTTCTCATACGAAAATCGTGTAAAGTTACAATTTTTTCGAGCTTTTTGTGTCTTTTGATCGACTCATGCTTCTAAAACCGTTTAAAATTGTTCTCAGGTTTGGCTTCTCGACAATGTTCTTCTCACACAGTAAGTACACGGTGCCAAGATTGTTTCGAGAGCAGCATATTTCATTTCGTTTCATTGATTTGTGTCGATTCGTAATTTTATTCAGGAGAAAATACCGTGAGCACGCTTGGCCGATTGGTTCTAATAATCTGGCTTTTCGTTGTATTAATCGTCACGTCGAGCTACACCGCCAGCTTGACATCGATCCTCACCGTCCAGCAGTTAACTCCGACTATCAGAGGGATCGACTCCTTGATCTCGACTAACGATCGTATCGGTTTCCAAGAAGGCTCTTTCGCCGAAAGCTATTTAAATAATGAACTCAACATTGCGAAATCAAGACTTGTCGCTCTCGGCTCCCCGGAAGAATACGCAGATGCCTTAACCACAGGCAGAGTCACGGCAATCGTCGACGAACGCCCATACGTCGACATCTTCCTCGCCAGCTACTGCAAGTTCCAAACCGTCGGGCAAGAATTCACGAAAAGCGGATGGGGATTCGTGAGTTCAATTTCGTAAATTCGACTCGCAATTCCGTAAATATATTTACGACGTACTTAAATGAAGATTCTTGAAATTTGCAGGCGTTTCCGAGGGACTCGCCGCTAGCGTTGGACATGTCGACGGCGATCCTGAACTTATCGGAAAACGGGGAGCTCGAGAAGATACACGACAAGTGGCTGAAGACGCGGACGTGCGGGCAGGCGAGCTCCGACGACTCGCAACTTCAGCTGAGGACCTTTTCGGGGCTTTTCATCATATGCGGGATTGCGTGCTTACTCGCACTCGTCGTGTATCTCGGGGTGACGGTGCACAAGTTCAGGCGATACTTTCCTCACCTGTCGGAACGCTCTCGGGCGAGCAGCTCGCTGTCGATGCCCATCCAACGGTTCCTATCGTTCGCCGACGAGAAGGAGGAGGAGTTGAAGAATAGGCTGAAAAGAAAAAGGAATTCAAACACAGACAGAAACACAATGTCAAGGAGCAACACATCTAATGGATTCCAAGAATAGATCTGTTATAGTATACGTAGAAAATTGAAAGATTGGTTCAGTTTCAACGTGAGATATGTAGATTTCATGTTGTCTTTAAGTTGTAGCAGGATGGATGATGACGATGATATATATATATATATATATACACGAATTTATATACATAATTTGATTAGTGATTCCTGCATCTGCTGTTTTTGATTGGTAGATTTATGTGTTTTTTTTGTCAAATGTTTTGAAATTTTATTATTTGAACTTTTGGTGTTTTTTTGAAACACTAATTTTCTTTTTAGGCATTTCTGCCCTTAGTATTTCGTGTTTGGGCATAAGTTGAAATCTGAATGATGTGTTTTGGGTTGTTCGTTGTGGTTCATTTGAGGGTCGGCGTGATACTGTAGAGCTTTCAATTATTACCCTAAGCTCTCGACTATGATTTTTTTGGGACCATGAACAAAAATAAACTATAGGCCCTATAAACATATGATTAAAATATATTTTACTATTGACGTCGATTGGACAAAATGTGACCGTCTGGACAATGGTAATTTGAGAAAAGAAGATGAGAGACGTCTGTCCGGAAGTTCAAAAAATGAGAAGGACTGAAGGACGGTGAAAGAGATAAGAAAGAATGTGAGGCGGGTTTGGTTTGAGTCGGTGGAGGCAATGCTACAGGATGTGAAGTAAATAAGTGTAGACGATGATTAAATTTTAAAAAAATATAGTGACGTGGCTAGGAAAAAAGAGATAGAAAAAAATATATGATTAGAGTTTTAAAATTTAATTTTAAAATTAAATAAGATAATTATGAAAAAAAAATATAAAATAAAAGTTAAAATTTAATAATAATAATAATAATAATAATAATAATAATAATAATAATAATAATAGACAATATTTTAAAATATGAGCCTTTATTAATCAGGAACTCATTCTACTCAGCCTTCAAATTAAGCTTAACAAAGGTAAGTCACACTCGGCAAATCATATGTAACATGCATAACCTCAAAGCTTATGGATTTGAATCCGTAACCTCAAGATCACGAGTCGCACCCTGGAGTAAAAAATACCTTACAAGACTTGTTCTCTTAAATAATTGTAAAAAAAAGATACTCCTTCAGTTTGTTTATTGATTTATAATTTTTTCTTTTTCATGGGGCATGCTCAATAAATTAATTGTGTTCTTACAAAATTGTGTTCTTACATGTAAACTAGTTTGTTTACTTGTGGGGTTTTTATCCTAATTTTATTATTTCAATTTTTTATTTTTTTTCTAAAAATATCAAATCAAACACCTACTATTTATTTATTATATTACATAAAAATTTTATTTTACATTTAAAATATCACATCAAATAACTATTTCAATTCAAAATTTTACTATTTAAAACCAAAACTCAAATTCAAAATCTTACGTATAAACACACTTGACCTCTTCTCACACGTGCTTTTTGTTGATAATCTCAAAATAGAATAGAAATGAATGGCTAACTGAACAATCCTGCATCTTCATCTGATAGCTTTGGCTTTGTCCACGATTTGTTTGATTGTAATTTGAAATTGATTTGAAATAAAGTGTTGACTTGAGTTTTTATTTAAATAATACTTCATATGTCATATATATATATATATATGGTGAAATATAAATTTTCGACACGAGAATTTATGTAGGTAGTATTAAACATAATAAATAAAAAATTATATGATGTGACAAAAGAAAAATGTATATTTATTTTTAATTTGAGTTGTGTTATGAGATAAAATATAGTTATGAGAAGGTTACCCGTGCTGATATTGTTTGTAATAAAAACATGTATTATTTCTTCATAATTAGAGTATGTGTTATATTACATGTACTAAAATCAAGCTCAGCATGTGTTGTGTGAAACTATTTCATGTGCTATTAATTAATATGTTGTATTTATATTATATTAATATAAATTGTTAATTTGTGTGTTGTTCATCATAGTGCTAAAATTAAAATTCAGCAATGTAATTGTTACCATGTAGTTAATTATTTCTTATTTTAAAAATATTGTAGACTACGTGGCACAGACCAAAATAGAAAATGTTGCAGAGTATGTGAGAGGGGTGAAATATTTTTTATTTTTTATTATAATATGGGAACCCGCAACCGCTACCATTTGGGTGTGCTCGGGGTAAACCTCCGACCGAACATAATAGCCTGCAAATTAGGTCCAAAAAGACAAGTCATACTAAGCTAATCATGTGTGACAGACAAAACCTGAAAGTGTTGAAATTTGAACTCATGATCTCAAAGTTACAAATATTTTGATATAATATTTTATGAAATAAAAAAAAAAATAATACTATTTTTCTTTAAAAAATATACATGATGAATATTATTGATTTAGATTTATGATAAAAATAATAATAATAATAAATACCGTAAATATTTTGGTGTTGTGCTAGGCAAAGATGCATGGCAACTTTAAGCATCTTCAATCCACTTTGTATAAATACTAAAAATGTCATTTATGCTGAATAAATTATTTCAATTTACTCGTGCAAGTCACATTAGGCGAACTCATGACCTAGGCGAACTCATAACCTCACGGTCAGAAGTGTAACCTATTGTTTACTTCAATATACTCTTGTAAATTTGCGGGCACCCTCTTACAGGAGAGAGGGTGGTACAATTTTTTTAAGCAAGCTGTAGCAACTTTTTTTTTTTTTTTTTTTTTAAGGGAGTGCTACTTTTGTTATTATTATTATTGTTTTATTTTAATTATAAATAAAAATTTTTAAGATCAATTTATAAATTTATTTTTAGGGTGTGTTTGGGTAGTTTTTTTGGTCAAGTTGGCATTATACTTCTATTTTTTAAAAATATTATATTATATTTTATGTGATTCACTCAAAATTTATTTATAAGTTTTATTTTTCTTTTAATAAAAAACATTATTTATATACATTCAAAAAATTTTATTTGTTTGTCAATAAATTTATAGTAAACATAAATAAATATTTATATTATTTATTTATTTGTATTATATAGAATTTTATTCTAAACAAAATAATATTTCTACTGTATATATTTTATTATAATTATTAAAATAATTAAATACATATATTCAATTTTTTTAATCTTAAATATATATTATATCATAAATCAAATACTAATTAAATAAATCATTCATAACCCAACTTTCAACTCAATAATTCAATCTTGGGTGAGTACGTGTGTGCATGTATTGGGTAAAATTCACGTCGAATGTGTGAGTGTATGCATGTGTAGGTAAATATTTTATAATTGTTTTATGATAAATCATATTTTTTATTTTTTATGTTTATATTTTAATAATAGTGATAATAAAGTAAATATTTGTTAATATATTTACATGTTCATTTTAATATTTATAGTTAATATTATACAAAATTATGATAAATTGATATAAGTTATTTAATTATTATATTTAAAATATTATAATACTTATTAATTCATTATATACAATATAATAACTCTAATTATTAATTATTTATTCAAAATAATTAAAAAAATTAATTTACTATGAATATTTAAAGATTTTTATTATATATTTTTTAATAACAAATAATTATAATTATAATTATAATATTTAAAATATTAATATAGTTTATTAATTATTGTTAAACAAATATGTAAAGTAATAGTATTATATTATTAATCAAAATTATAGAGTTTATTGTTTTGAGATCTTAACTTGTGAATACTATTCAAAAGTATTCACTATATACATTTTCAATAAAAATATAATATTTTTCTTAATATCACATTAAAATACTAATAAAAAATAAAAAATTATATCAATCCTTCGGTTCAAATCAATTTCAACCATAACCAATAGTGTTGGAGATTCAAAACTATAGTATTCAATATAAATATCAAAATACAGTACAATATCATATATCGTATCAAATTTTTTATTTTTGATAATGTGGGAACCGCAGCTGCTACCCGAAAATGCGTACGGTCTAAACCATGTGTGGCAGGTGGATCTTGAGGTGTCGGAGTTTGAACCCATGACCTCATGGTCACAAGTTCACTTCCCACATATGCCGGGGCGGAGCCAGGATGCTCGACTTGGGGGCGAAAAACTATGTGCAAAAAACATCCATTTTTGTTTTAACAGAATTTTCAATTTTCATTAAGTTAATTATATATATTAGACAATATTTTTTTAAATTTAAATCTGAAATTTTATTTAAATATAATATTTTTTTCGTCCCAACACAAAGATTGTGTCTTTTGTTCGGACACCAAAATATGTAGTATAAATTAGTTATTAGATAGGAGATTGGGGGGTTTGGGAGGGCAGCGGGCTCCGCCCTGCACATGTGACACCTCGGCCAATAAGCCATACAAAGCCGGGCGTGTTGGGATGTCGTGGATTAGCCCATAGGTCAACACGAGTCCTTCTAGCACGCTTCTGTCCTCACTCGTTGGCATCCTGATAGACTTTCCAGAGGGTCATCCATCCTCAAATTACTTTAGGGCAAGCGCTTAACTCTAAAGCTCTTTCAGTAGGGATCCCAAAAAGAAATATACATATTGTTGACATAACTAGTCTATTCAAATCATTTAACCTCTAATCAACTTTAGATGACCTAATACCGGTTCATCCACACACGAGAGTTGGCCAAACAATGACCCAACTTCGAAGGTATTACACCACACCACCAAGTCACCCCTTACGGGACCCATATCAAACTTTTTGATATGTAAGAAAATATGTTGATACCATAGAGAAAGTTTTGATACACATAGACGAGAAAGTACATATATAAATATAGGTAAGTTATGTTGACACACTTTAACCCATAAAAATGATCTATTATAATAATAAATACGTCTAGTAAGGGGTGATTTGGTGGTACGAGGGTGAACTCGTGATTGTGAGGTCATGGGTTTAAATCCTGACGCCTCTAGATTCACCTGACACACATGGTTTGTGATTTGCCTTGTTACATCTAATTTGCATGATATTATGTTAGGCCGGGAGTTTATCCCAAATGCAATTAACGAGTTACGGTAGCATATTTCCATGTTATCAACAAAATAAAATAATACAATAATAATAATAATAATAATAATAATAATAATAATAACAATAATTTACTATATTGTTATCTCGTCACCACTCACACAAATTATTAGTGTCAAATTTATGTTAGTTCCAAAT